ATTATATGGTTTTTCGAACGGCGTGTAATAATCGAAAATGGACACATGTATGTCGACCGAGAAGAAAATGGAAACAAACGCAGTATTTCCCTTAAAATGTCGTAAAAAATAATTAAATATTATTCTCACACCATGCGGTGTAATGTGTTTTGTGGAGTTTGTCCCGAAATCATCGACACATTTATTACTATGGTGTGATAATCAAATAAAGGTAAACTACGAAAACCGATCGAGTCACACGGCCACCTCAGTAGGAGAAAAAACGTAATGCCCCAGAGATGAACAAAATGTCACGAAAAGAGACAATAATAAATCAAACACGCCGCCGGTACATTATACGCATAAACGCTCAGTCATCGCCTCGTCCCCCCCCCGCATCCGCCCGGTGGTTATTACCGGGCGGCGGACAGTGCTGTTGGTATACGTCGTCCAAAACGTTTTCGGCCAAAGAGCTTCGTCATGTGCGCTCCGATAATTGTGTGCGCGCACCGCCACTGCTGTCGGTTCAAAGTGCCCGGGCAACGCTTTCAGCAGCAGAACACCGTATAATAATTATACAACGACTGCGGGCTACTATACACGACGTGCACACAATACACGTATGAAGTGTGTGTGTGTGTGCCGCGATCGGACGGTACGTTGTATTGTTGCGGTTCAGCAGAAGCTTCATCCGTACGCGCACAGAAACGACGGCCAGAATAATGGCACGTCTCCTGTGAACGCTCTGTCTGCCGCCGGCGTCTTATTCGACCGAATATGCGTCGCAATCGCGTTCCATCCCGACGTATCTGCTTCTTGTCAACGCGCGCTGTCCGCATTGGGCTTTGGACGCGACGCGTTTTTTCTGGTAGGCGCAGTGCAGAGTGGTCCCAGGTATTTGTATTCTCAGGCAGTGCCTCCTCATTGTCTGCTGCCGGCACACCACACGTTGGTCAGAGATACTCGAGGAAAGTGACACAAAGAAATGTGCCAATCACTCGACTCTATTGGCGTGTCGTCACCGTGTGCCACTCGTGATCGGTAGTCGAGTGGTCCTCTGCCGGTCAACGATACCTACAATAACAAACCGACGCTGTATCGTAGCACCGAAATGGTCCCGGGAAAATGTGTCGTTGCCTTTACCCGACGCTTTTACCTGCCTACCTGTACCCCAGTGCACAATATAAAGTGCACATCGTTGAGTAACGCAAGTCATCGCCGAACGTGAAATAACGTCGTGCAGCGCTCGCTCGAACCTTATCCTGTTTATCGTTTGTTACATCGCTACAGTAGTGCAGCCCACAAAATCAAATTATGTTCGTGCCAATAATTAACATGCGCAACAGACAAGCAAATTGTTTTTTACATAAAAAATAATTTGGTCTTTGCGAAACGACACATTAGTGTTTTTTGTCGGAACACTTTCGATTCCACGCCGATATTCAATTTCTCGAGGCGATATCACTTGATACTAATAACGAAATCGATAATATCCAACGACGCTCGTTTGTCTCAGAGTCTCGTTTAATTATAATATCTTTAAAAACCTTGAAAATTTACACGCTTAACTCGAACGCGTGTAATTATTCTTTACTTAACATTATACTAGGCGGTGTAATGTGTGAAATTTGCAAGTCATCTCGGTGTCCCGTTTTCAATGATTGGAATTTTCCAACAAGCGTATGACAAATATATGCGTCATTTCATACATCTTTGGTCAGCACAAATATATGCCCGTCGATTATGATATCGTGTGAAGATTTATAGGCCATTTTAAGTTCTATAAGACATGCCGCTGCTACTCGACGCTTGTCTACGACCCCAGTTGACACACTTTACCATCTGTATAAACGGTCGACTAGTCACAATAACGTTATACAGTATTTTATTTATATTTTAGTTGGATTGTAATCTACTCTAACAGTCGTGTAGTGTTGTCGTCTACTGTTTTACAACGGTAGTCTTGTACATTAAATATATACAAAAAATTGACTACACAATGCTATATTAGAATATCAAAGCGGCCTATATTACCGCTTTGAGTATTTTAAAATACACGAGCTTTAACGACGCAGATGCAAACGGAATGATTTTAATTGGACCGCGACAAAGACCGGTATTTGGTTTAGAAATTTTGAAGCACCGAGAAGGGTCGAAAGGGGCCCATTCGGTTCTTAATACATCAGCGGTGGGATTTGAGTGGAGGAGCCCGTGTTGGGGGGAACCTCCGGCAAAGTCAAAATGGCGTAATTCAGTTGACCGAGGGGTCGAATCGCTATAGTTGATTATAAGTGCACAGATGAAGTGTTTCGCAAACAACGGGCGGTGGTGGTCTTGTTGACATCGAACGGCGACTTGATTGCCTGAGAAAATCTATTGTAAAGCGCTCGGTCGAGTTGTTCGTCGAATGACCCGGCAAAGTTTTTTAATACTACCACTGTTGTTGATTAGTATTCGAAAGTCGGCACACAATTGACATCGTTGCGCGCTCGTATTGTTCTGCAAGTCACATAAATAACATTAGTTGTGCGCTGGTATCGACAGTTACGGTTATCGCGGTTGGTTGTGTGACGTTTGATGGAAAATAAAAGTGTCTCCCATAAATAACAAAAGTTTAACTTCAGTATGAGGGTGAAAAGGGGTTGTGCTTATTAGATGTTCGCTACGATTACGGGTGAGAACGCCGCGGCTTCATTTGATTTCCGTGTTAACGACCAATGCGATAGGCATAAATACGATTATTTGCGTGTCCGTCCAACACATGTATTCTAAATGCTTTATAACACAATTACCGACCGTGTCGTGCATACAATTATGTATTTACATATCGTAATCAAATGTCAGCATAATTACTCTGTCGAGAGAGTTTTACGCTCATATTTAATGTATTAGGACAGAGTCCAGCTGAAAACTAAGAGCAATTTGACAAAATATAAGGTAGTCGCCCCATTTTATTTTGTACACGCCGTCGGTTTATACGGATGTAAATGGGTGTAGCAGTTATAATTATGTAATGTTTGATCGACTCGCAGATGGCATACGAGTACCTGTCGTTTTCACAATCATTTCCGGTTTGAACTGAGAATATGAAAACTGTAGCAGTGTGCCCACCACTACGGTTGTCGCAGCGATATTTCGCGGAAAGTCTAAAACGAGCAGAGAGGAAATAAATTTATAATAACGGCGCCGAGTTTATCATCGCGGTTTTGGAGATAAATTGAAAAATGCGTCATGCAATAGGACTGGGGGTGTGTATGTCTCACGTCGTTTCTACGTAGAGGGTTTACGTAGCGATCTAGAAACCTTTACGTTATATAAACTTGCATAAATCATAGCGGTCCCGCGGGAAAATGCGCAAAGGCGTGGGGGTTATAATGTTGAGATAGAAGAGTAGTGAGAGAGAGTGAAAGAGAGACATCATTTACTTGACACTGACCTCATATACGAGGCAAGTCTCGCCCGCTCGGCTGTCACGGCCGCCCCACGAGGGTAATTTTAATCTGTCAAAAAAAGAGCCAAACGAAAAAAGAAAGTCGTCCCGGAAATAAGCCAAAATCGTCTCTTGGCAAATATTATATTAAACGGTTTTCGCCTCCCCGGCAGTAATGAAGCAGTACTGGAGGAGGAAACGACGATTACTTATTACGATATATACCGTACCACGCAAACAGTGATAAAAGTATAAATTTATTACCTATAATATATGTATATGCATACGCGGTGTGTAAAAAGGATGTGCGATACTGGAAAAGAGAGCGAAATTTAATTTACTTCTCCGCTGCTGCTACTGCCGCCGGAGCGTCTGACGTTTCCCTTGACGTGCTCGGCTTTGTCGGGAAATATTGCCAAAGAACATTGTATTGTACACGTATACATATTTATTTATACGCTCATCACAGGGGCATTACTGCGTTCAATAAATTTCACTTAGACCGTTACATTTTTCAATTTTTGAACGCGTCAACCGTAATCTCTGTGTTACCCATCAGCGGTTTTTTCTCTCTCTTAAGTTGCTCTTGATAAATCCCTCGATAATTGCCGCCATTAATGCATTAACCAATGACGAGCACAGTAATTACAAAAACCGAATGTATAGTTTTGCACGTAATACATACACGATGCTGCTGCGAAATTCTCGTTCAAGTGTTCCAAAACGAAAAACTAACGATTTGTTGGACTTTTTCGCCGTACGCATTTGTTGCGCATTGTGTTTTTTTAAAACGAACTATTCCATCGAAATGTACAACTGTTTTGATAAAAACGATTTGCTTAAACGATGCACGACGAATGTGTGTAATTGATGATTTCAACGGACTTTGTTAAATAAACACCGGCGATGATTGCTTTTTTAGTCGATCGACAGACACCTTTAAAAATTGCGTGTCTAATTTAAAACAAACACGCTCGTCGCCGTCACACGGCTGCCGAACTATTGTTTGTGATCACCGTGTGCTCGGAGTGTATGACAGGTGATACTCGTGATGTCGAATTATTGTTATTTAACGATGATGATTTTCGAAAATGAAAAATCGTTTCGAGCTGTGGCCCTTACAAGATACATATAAATAGAAGGGGGCACAATAGGCTCTCGACGCACACATACCAAATGACAATGACCCATCATCTCGGTCATCATCGCTATGTTATTACGACATTAAGGGCCAGTAAGAGCGGTTTGGTCGTCATCGTTATTATTATTATTTTTCACACCTATTCCTAAAACCGATCCTCGCGTTTCTGTACTACTACAACCCAACCTATGCGTGTGTATACAATGACTTTGGGAGACTTCATTAAACGACAGATTGACGTTTGGAACAATACGAGGCGAATCGAACTGCACAGATAGAGAGTGGAACAAAAAGACGAGAATTCGGTTTGTTTTTCCGTTCTTTTGTCGTGTCGAAATATAAAAAATGAATCGCGACGCGGCCGTTCTCACGGTGTTGCCACCGCTTTACGCTGTGTTGGCGTTGCTCGACGGTTTTTTATTAATTGACACTTTTATTAATTTTTTGCAGGCCATCAGATGCACAGTTCCAGGGTGCATGTGCGACTGTTTCACTCCGGGCAAACTACACATTCGGTTCTGCGATGCTTGTGGCCACGGATGGGTCCCACACGGTAAGTGTGCTCAAACATACTTAAGTCGATGCAGAAATAAAATCACCTATTGGCACGTCCATACCGTTCGGAGACGTTCACTCGATCATTGCCCATTTGTTACGCGAATTATCGCCTCATACGCAGTTTTATACACAATATTATAGGGGTCAAACCGATAAGGCAGTTAGCCCTCCCTCCCCTGCACTACAAACTCTTATATATTGACCGCCGTCGCTGCACCTTACATTCCCTTTTATTGTTATTTTTATTTTTAGGGTTACAAAAGTCTCCGTGGACTCGGTAATATATTTCCGGACACCCTTTACAAGCCGTTTGTTTTCTGTTATTCTTTTCCTGGTCAAAGTCGTGTGTGCGTCTGCTGTTTAATAAAACATGTACGCGGGCAGCTCTCTAGAGACCGAGTGAAAATCGATTTTACTGGCCCATCTTCACCACCGCCCCGCTACCGATTTTCATTTGGAATTTCGTTTCTCCTCTCATCCCGCGGCATATCATTTTCACGGACGCGCTAAAGGCCAAACGTGATGTGAGTGACCCGAATCCGAAATCAATTGTTTTCCGTACACACAACCGATATGGAAATAATATGCGTTGGACCTCGAGGTAAAAAAAAGTTTGGCACTTATAATATGTAAGCGTTCAGTGTCAAAGATATCGTGCGGTTGTACGGAAAGAAATAGCTCGAGGGTGTGCGCAATTAACCAAATGGAAAACTACCGTCAATTCCCCACAGTGCAATATTATCTATCACTATTGGAACGGCACCCGGCGCTCAGTTTTATGGAAATGAGGTGCTCGCACAGTCTCGTTGTTAGCATACAACACACTCGGGTCCGTATAAAAACCACATAAATATACACTTTTTTGCATTTTTTTTCCCTAGAACGGTTTATGCCATCCATCCGCCGTAGAAATACTAGCCGCGAGCAAATAGTATACGAGTCCAACGACCCTTCAAATGACCAAAGAGGATAAATGTATACGCTCGACTTGAACGGTGTACACTCGTTTTTAGAGTTTGTTTTCCTTAATAATACAAATCGTCGAGGACGAAAGGCCGACTGCGAGAGTAGTTCGCTAAGCAAATTGAATGTATTATTCCAGTAAACAAATAGGCAGCAATTGAGGTGTACAAATAGCCATGGGCATTGCTTCAACGAGGTCCGAAAGTGGACTGATACGGACTATGCCAATTATNAGAGGGCGTCGGGCATTGCTTCAACGAGGTCCGAAAGTGGACTGATACGGACTATGCCAATTATCGCAGTCGAGTGTAGTCATGTCAATCAAACGTGTTTCGAACGCTTTTCTTTTTAATTATCAGAAACATACGATATGTTCTACCGGACCTTTTATTTTATTAAGTGTAACTGTTAAAAATACCGACTCTCCAAAGTCTCGACAGTTGACGAGTTAACGAATACATATACCGTCGTGATGTCTTAAATTCCTATCGAGTCGGATACTGAACTCTCTCGTCTGTAGCAATAATTTTTATCATAATAACGGTTCTTTGTGTACGCGTATGCCTTGTCGGTGAAATTAAATTTTGACAATTAAAAACTTAGTTAATATTTTGTGTGTATTTAGGAGTTTCCTGTACGCATCCTGTCGGGTTAATGGTGTATTTTATTTTTCGCCCAGCCATACAACGTTAATTATTTTGCACCGGCTAATTAAATTTACATCAAATATTATACTCTCCGAGACTTTTCTTTCGTCTCGCTTTGCACGAGTGTTGTCTCGCATTTTGGGGGGCGTGGTCAAATTAAGAACTAGTTTTCACTGTGACCGCCGTCATCATCATCATCACGGTGCATGAGTGTATCAACATTATACAGGCCATCTCATGTCACTTGACCGCAAACAAAAGAAATCCACGGGCAATTATATTTTCGTTTACTTAGACGAGAAGATAAATAATATGCCGTGTTACCCCCTACTCTTATCGTTATAATTAAATGTTCATAAAAAAAAAAACACAAACTCACAAGACTAGTGTTGAAAGCTTAAAATGAAAACTACACAACGTCGTCGAATGTGTTTTCCATTGTTTTATACCGTGACAAAAACTCTCAAAATGCATAACGTTATGTGACTGAGAAATTCCGAAGAAGATGTGTTTTATTACACGGTTGTTGCGTATGCTTAATTAATTAACGTATCAAAAATATGACGTACACGCTTCGCCGTCGTCACTGCAATAAGATCCGTCCTCGTGTGTGTGTCGAGTTGGGGTAATTGCGCACGGCGAGAGGAGTAATGAAGGGGAAGGTGGTTCTCTCGCTCGGCTTAATTATTTAACTAACCCCGACCGCCGTTGAATGACAAAGTGATTTCCACGCCCTTCGATTTATACTATAATAATATATACACACATCCTCGTATAACGGTACAGACCCTGTCGATGACGTTCCTACAGGAACTCGTGATTAATGGTAGTTACCCCGTTCGTTCATGTTGCTGCTCCTCTCTCGTCTGTTGCCAAATACCGATTCTGTCAATTAATTACACGTGCGTTCCTAACTGGACGCAAACGCTGTATAACGTAAAATATATTTGGAAGTGCACACCTTTCTTCTGCCGACCCGCAGCCCAAGTCCGAGGAACGGGGTTTTCGCAGTGAGCGCGATACTACTGCACACTACTGCACTACTGCACAAACCGATACGAGGTCGAGGAAATTTATGCAGAGTTTGTGTTTGAACGGAAAACTGGAAGTAAAAAATAAGCGCATGTGTTATNCGCGGTGTAAACCGATACGAGGTCGAGGAAATTTATGCAGAGTTTGTGTTTGAACGGAAAACTGGAAGTAAAAAATAAGCGCATGTGTTATGGCGACGTACCTGAGGGGTGGAAATAATGTAATTTGTTGACGTTGCCCCGCTCGTCGGGATGATAGTAATTATAATAATATATTCGTCTCCACTGTTGTAACAGTCAACCGCCGACGTCGTCGTCAAATATTAGCTTTTGTACTGCTGAACGCCCCGACCGATTCCCCTCTCCGCTTTTGCAAAACAACGGCGTGTGCTAAAGATGTATAACCCGACCCGAAAGAGGACACTCTGTTTGTTCTGCGTCAGCGTCTCGCGTACTAAACCTTCATACTGTTTACGCAGTTATTGCTCTCGCCGTGTATTATTATATTATACGGCGGCCGTTTTGCACGGCTTTTGTCTTGTTCAACATTACAGCCCCACCCGCCCGCCATCATCACTGACACGAGTTTTGTGAACTTTCTACTCGGCCAAAAAGTTCATTTCTGTCGTTTACATTTACGAATTTCCAGCTTATTTCATCGAAAACAATACGCCATTTCACTAATCACCTGACAAACCGTTAAAACGATCCGAACCTGTCACGTTCAATGTCGTCGTAACCAGTACGTGCATTTGATAACTAACGGCAATCGATAATCTGTCGGACGGTCGACGTACGTTTCGGAAGAGTTAATCTTGAAATGGACCAATAAAAAAATTGATGTTCGTTTTATTTTTTATATATACGCGTGGAGAACCTTAGTTTTGAAATTGCGTCATTTTATGTAATAACGTCAAAATCATTTTTACGGATTTACCGTTAGCGAATAAAGAATATTCTCGTCGGTAAAGAGTTGCTTGAGAATAAACGCAAAAAATATTATTCTTATCCCGGCCAATTACTTTGTAGTGAAACCGTTTTTCGACCGCTGTAGCATATTAATAACACTGTTTGAATCTCGGACATAATTCTTTAAAAAAAAATATACGGTCTCGCGTTCACTTTACTCTGTTTCCATCTATTATGTATAACTGAGAAAAAGGCGTCGGTCAGCAATGTCGGGCGGGGGTGGTACACGGAGAAAACCGCACACTCTGCTAGGAGTTTCCGCCGGTGGTATTTCGGTCACGTAAAGCCGCCGCGGGTGTTGCGCCACTCGCGTAATATATGATACCGGGAGAGGAAAAAAAGTCAAGAAAAATATAGAAAAGAAGTCCGGTCGGTCAAATCTGCATGATTGGGACGGGGCCGCAAATGCGATTGATGGGTCTCTCAGGGATTGCTTATCGCGGCTTTTCTCACATATCCGCCTGGGCGGCGGCACCCCCTCGTCGCAGATAAAAACACATCATATCTTCTCGGCGTTGTATATTGTTGTTATTTCTGGCCGCGTTATAGTGTTATATGTTCCCCTTTCGGTGCGCACAGAAATCTCTCTCCGGTATAGTGCGCGGCGGTGGTGTTGTTAAATGACGTGTCACAACACGGCGGCGATATTAATAATAAAGCGGCCGGCTCATTCGTCACGGCCCGTCAGTGGAAACGGCGACAAAGACGGATCAAATGAATCAAAGTCGTCTTTGGAGAGATTCGCTCCCGTTATTATTATCCGGCCGACGATGTTTCGCCGGGTGGACACGGAATAATGTAATAACACAAACGCACCTTTGGCCGCAGCGTCTGTGTCGGATTATGAACAGTCGAGTCCTCCGACAACTGCGAACGACCAAACGAGTTCATCGCTTTGCGACTCGTTAATCATTTTCGGCAAAAATGGGGTTTACACGGTCGCTATTGAACTGAATATTAAACAAGACGTTGTTATTGATTGGCCGAAAAAAAATAAATAACTGCTCCGTTTATTTTAATTTTGATTCATTGTTGCGCGAAAAGATTTCTTCTTTGATCCGACGGGCAAACGCGGTGAACGTCGTTGTTTTGACGATTTAATCGGATCGCTTTGGAAGAAGAGTGTACGGGGTTTACGAGGGAGCGCGCACAATGGGCCGTAGGAGTAACAACAAAAGGGTTAATAATGGTCGGAAGAGGAGAGAAAAACGGTTGTTCTTAGCGAAATTAGCTCCGGGCATTCTTTCTTTTACCTCCCCGTAAGACTCGTCTCGTTGCGTATAGACGGCCGTTTTGTTGTTTGAAACATTAGCGAATCGAAAATTCCTCCATTAGGCTTTCTCGGTTACTACTACAGAAAAATCATATTGGTGTCAAACTATCGG